GCATCATGCCATGCTTGTACAGCATCCACCAATGATTCATGCTGCATCTGTGGTCTCGCATCGGCAAGGTCAGAGTACAGCTGATATATTCAAAAAGATCTACACCAATCCGGAGCTCTATGGGCAGTAAGTGATCTCGTATTGATCGATTCCATGAAGGAATGGCTTTCTATATATACTTGTTAAATGTTTTATTGACTTTGTGAGATTCAATTCTTCTCTGAAGTTCGTTGCACCCACAAAGATGATTGGGAAAATCAGTAACTCCGAAGCAAAAGACGCTGACGAAATATTCACACTTAAGGCGATGTGATTGACTTCAAATTTATTTTTTCTGATGCGGACAACTTATTGTGTTGTATTCTATTGTATTGAAGCTCTAGCGAGTTATAAACAAGCTTTCAGCCAAAAAGTACATCACCGTTACAATTCTGGTAAAAAGAGATGAAACAGTGGGAAGTGAAACGGACAAAAATATGAGTGTATTAGAAAGCTCAGAACAAACACTTTCCTTGTCGGTCGGTATCCGGACAAGATAGGGTACCAATGAGTCTCCTTATGCAGATATGCGAGACGGGATAAGTTTGTACTTAAAACGGGTGGAGGGATGGGATTTGCATGAATACAAGTCAATGTGTATAGGATGGGTGCAATTAGATAGGATATTGTCAGCAAACTTCAAGCACGCACCAATATGGGCAATTATACATATTGCCAATCAGAACAGATAACGGAACTTGGGAGAAAGGGCTGATCATTGAGAGGCCACGCATCAGCAACTTGAAATCAGCCGTCACCAAACCAGGGAAAATTACAGGGGAGCAGTAAAAGAGTATAGGGAGGACGTATTACTGAACGAAAGCGTCTTTCACCGACAAGCCAGAGCAGAAGTGGCGCAGTCTTCTTATCTAAAAAAGAGAACTTTCAACTTGCGAGCAACAGTTTAAGGACGTAAGAAACAGCGAAGGTTACTTTCAAGTGTGACGACCAAGTACTTCATATGGCTGACCTTGATCATCGGCTTTCCATGAATCTGTACATTGTCGGAGGGAGATGGGGAACGGTTTCGAGTAAAAATACATTCGAGGCATTTTTCAGGATTACTATTAAGACCGGATGAAGTGGAATATGAAACCAGGTGGGGTACGTTTGTGTCATGTTCACCCACTTCTGATTGTTTAGATAAGGAAACAGAAATGGCGATATCATCAGCATACTTAAAATGTTGAACAAGGTGAGTAATAGGTAAGTCACTGATATAAGTCGAAAAAGATAGGGTGGTAGGATAGCACCTTGAAGTACACCCGAGCTATTGAGTGATGCGATTGACTGTCTTCTTCCCAATTTAACATACTGATATCTTTGCGAAAAGTAATCAGCAAGCCATTCAAGAAGAGAAGCGGGATAGCCCAAAGATTGGAGCTTGTTAAGGAAAAGAGAACGAGGCACCGAGTCAAAAGTGGAAGAATAGTTGCGAAATGCACAATGCACCCATTTGGCTTTATCGTTCAGGGACATATGAAATGAACTAGAGAAGAAACGGCATCTGATGTAGAGCGGTTACGTTTTTACGCATCATCGGGGGTGGTAGGGGATAACTGAAGGTGATGCAAACTTGATCGCTCAATCAATTTCAAACCAGTGGAAGTGAGAGCAATTGGTCTGAAACGCTTCGCTATTGGGGCCTTTGACGTTTCTTTGGGGATGGGAGTAATTCTCACTCGTCGCCAGCAATCCGGAATGGTTCGGAGTTCGAGTGAAAGATTAGCTATGTGCGCAAAATTCATGAGACAGGGACAGAGCACCGTGTTTAAGAAAGGTAGGACTTAAGTTGTCTGGACCAGGTGAAGTTGACACCGTGAGAGAACACGTGTTTAAGCATCTCACTAGAGATGATGGGATCAAACGAAGGTTGGATGTTTGGAGAACTGGAATCAACATAATTGGGATGTATGTCGGGCGAAGCATGTACACGTGCCACATTCAGTTTTTCAGTTTCAATAGAGGGACTGGAAAGCGCTTTCTTCTGCCTGCAGAGGAGATTGAATCCTCACCACATAGGTTTAGAGTTCCTCATCCCAAAAAACTGACTTGCATAAAGGGCGTCCGACCGTCTTATTTCACTCTTGATTAGAGAAGATGGTCCTTGCATTTCGGCCCTCCTGTCACTTTTAAATACATGTTCCTTTTCTAGTCAAAGACGCTCAAGAAAAGGTGTTGATATTCTGCCATGTTGATGGAACAAAGTTATCACAGGACAGCATTCATCGAAAACACAGTTTGACACTTCTGTTAGAAATGTCATGTTGGACAATCAGGTTGTGCTAAAAGGAAAACAACGAGTAACTACCTTAAGAAACTCTCTAAGCAAGGCATTTTTGTCTGGGGGAAGATCTCACTGACGGAACATGATGTGTTGGGTCGAGTAAAATAAAAATGTCCCTAGTGTGAGTACATCTTAGGTCTGACTAGGATCAGGTTGTGATCAGTTATGCCTAAGGGGGAGGACTGTTTGGTAAAAAATGTCTCAGCGTGGTTTGTGATTATGTGGTCTAGATGGAAGTTTCCTCTAGTTGGTTCAATACTCAGGTCACTGAGGTTTATACAGAATAAAGGGTGCAAGGGGGCGTGGTTAAAGTCACCAGCTATTAAGTGCAAGCTGTCAGCAAGAGATGGGGCAACAACGGGTAGGAAGTCATCAGAAAAATGTGTCAATGTCCGATAACCTACAATGGGGTGAAATGTATATATTAGTGATGGCGATAAAAGGAAAGTGGCAGAATTTGGGATGACAGACGACAGTTAAGCAATCAACGCCATTCTGTGAATACTTAGAAAGTAATTCAGACTTGCTGCATCAATTGGAATTGATGTAAGTAAGTACACCGCCTCCAGACTTCTTATGATGCATGCTGGTTTACTAAAGTGAGTATTTGGCAAATTTGAACCTATGCTGTTCCCACACTTGATGTCACTCAACATCCACCAAAATGGTACTGCATTCCAAGAC